ATACATGAAGTTTGCTCGAGATATTTGAATTAAAACATGACATGCTCGACATGGACTATACACACGGCGAACGCAATATAAAGCTAACTTATGAACTTGGCTTAACCAAACTAATCTAATCATGACTTTAACATGATCAACAAAGGTAAACCGAAGTTACCTTCTCGAACACTCGAGTAATCGCACTAACTACTCGGGATTAATCGGAACCTCCGTGCGTGTGTGCTTGCTACACCGCGCGTGCGGCTCTCGGCGCTTGTCTTGCGGCTAAACTTGCGTGCGGTATTAGCTAAGGCTATCTCACAACTCTCACTTCTCTCTATGCTAAGTATTGCTTAGGAACATATATATATTAAGTATAAGGGGAAAATTTCTCCCCACACATAACATATATATACATGCATGACCGAAAGCAAAGGGGAGGTGGAGGCTTTGTTGGTTTCATGACCTCATGACACTTGCCATCATTAGAATCACTTTGATGCTAACTCACCCTCAAAATAGCTTAGTCATGAGCTAATGGCTAATATTAGGATACCTCATACTTAGCTTACATGATAATTATCCCTTAAAAAAAATTGCTCACGGCTTTCTTAAAAATAAGACAAAATGCTACGGCATTTTATGTCTCAAGCTTGATTAATTCTCAATTAATCATAATTAAATGCTTAATTATTTAATTAAGTATAATACTTAATTACCAAAATTATTTCGAACGTAAACGTAACTTCGAAAATAATTTTGGGTAATCTCGACTGAAATAATGAATTCCGGAAAATAATACTCAACAATATTATTATTTCGGAACCAAATACATGACTTATATAATTAATTAGACGGGATATTACATTATTTCTATATTATTTTATTATTTTTATATATATTTGTGATAAATATATGAAATATTTAGATTAATTAAAAATAAAAAGTGTAGTTGTATTTTCAAAATATTTATTAAAAATAAAAACTTATTATATTAATTATAGTAAGTCGGAAACATGTGAGTAGGTTTATGGGGGTTTATGTTATTGGAGGTTTATGGCTGTAGAAGTAAATGCAAGAATGAGGTTTTAGATGTTGTGACATGTCTAGAAGTGTAACACGAGTTTCACAAGTTTTAATTGATAAAGATACTCTTATAATAGAGAAATTTGGGGTTTAAAAATACAAACCTCCAATAAACCTCAGTTGGACCTAAATCCACTTGCTGAATATTGAGAATTGAAAAAGTATGTTTAACATGATTGATTGTTAAAGATGCTCTAACTATGACATCTTTTTATATGTAATACTATTTTTTTACACTCATATATTTTTAAATGATTTTACGTTAATTTTATGTTGGAAAGCTTCAAATTAAAAAATAATACAAATAATATTATGTTATTTCATAATATAAACATACAATTTCTTAACCCACCTGCGGTAGTTTTTTTTTTTGTACAAAAAAAGAAGGACAAAGCCTAAGAAGTACTAAATCGAAATACGCTGAGGACACCTGCGGTAGTTTCAAATTGAAATATATCAAAATTTAAAAGTAAATATAAATAATAATATTATTATTATATTTTTTTTGGTACAGGGATTTTCGATTTCCGGATCCACAGGGGAACCGACTAATCCGGAATCGAGCCGGGTAGGACCACAAGGACGGCAAAGTTCTCCCTCAAGAGTTTTAACACTGGTGCATTGCCAGTTTTAACACTGGACTTTGTACAAAGTCCCTTGAATCACCCACAAAGTCAACAATTGGGCGCAGATTAGTTGGGGGAAGCTGCCAAAAAGCTTGACAAATGCTTCAACCAATCCAAGCCTAAAATTTCCAAAATCCAGTTAGATTAGTTGTAACTAAGACTTTGCTGAAGAACCCCACAACCACACATCATCATCACCACATTATGTATATATATACACACGATAATCAGCTAAAATGAACACCACACAGCAAAATACACATTATCTAGACAGTAAATGTTGATCCAAAGAAAAGGCTCCATCCATCTTGCAGCATGGATCCTGGTGAACAAATGATCGACTCGACCCGGAAAATCCAAACTAACGATACCGAACCAGAAGAGGAAGACGGGGACCTTTTCGAGATAAACCTCGAAATCGTCGACAAAATACCGCCAACTCAATATTATTCGGGGAGCAATGATTTTTCGGTCACTGGCAACACGCTTCTGGCCAACTGCTTGCTGCCGATCGCTGATGTCTCTCGTGCCGTTCCAGTGGTGATTTGATGTCGATCGGCTTCTTGATGTTGCAGAGTGATTAATTGCTCGGAAATGAAAATTCCACGATGTCATATTATTCCACGAGTTCATAGTTTAGGAAGATGCTACGGTCCCGTTACGGAACCATTCCGTGAGATTTGTAACCGCCAGATTAACTATTTCTGACGGTTACATGATGATCTAACGGTTACAAATCTCGACGGAGTTGTTCCGTAACTAGACCGTAGCACCCCATAATTTATACGTGATGAAATGTATTTAATTTGGTACATTTTGGCGTTTCACCTCTTTTTTTTTTTCTTATCTTTTTTTTTTCTAGTGATTGATATCTAGTTGATCATGGCTCATGGGTTGATTTTATTTTATATATATTGTAGAATTTGTTTGGGGAAATATTGAACTAATTTTAAATGAAGGTGACAAATTGCATTGTTCTACGTACAAACGAGTCAATAATGTTACATGAAAATAACTATTTTCACATTGCTATAAAAATACAGAGAATTTTTCATACCAACAAGTTAAATCTTCAACCAAACATATGAAATAAATTATGCGTTAAACATGCTACATACATACGGAGATAATTGAGAAATTGTGAAACAATTATGTGACAGACAAACGAAGTTATTTGAACAAGTGTTATGCAATAAAATATGCGACATGCATACGGAGATAATTAAGCAAGCTTGATCTCATTATGAGATAATATATACGACAAATAGATGAAATTAATTGAGGAAGGTCGTAACTTCCTAAATAATTGACCTTGTTGTGTACAAATTATTCTTTTTACCGAGTACCGATTCGTAGATTCGTTTTCTGGGTCGATCTCTCGAGGAAGGCGGTTTGGAATTTAGCTCTGGTATTGATAGCACATAAAAAGATAAAATCCTAACATTCTAATCAAGATGAATTGGATATTATCAACTAAGAAATTAAGAACATGCAAAAATATAAATCTACCTAAAAATAAGAACGAAACAAAGATGGAGAAAAGCTAGGGAATCGGGGATAATTAATTCAAGTTCTAGCAAAGTCGGGCAATTAATCGTTCGGTTCGAGATTGACACTCTCGCTTAGACATCTAGCTGTTCGCTCCCAGTAACTCTTCGTAACAAAGGATTGAACATAGACGAACAAGTTCGAGCATACAACACAGGCCAATTATCTCAATCCCAATAACTTTTCGTAACAAGGGACGAGTCATCGACAAGCACATCCAAACCATAGATTATTCAGTTACGAAATCATCTATCTCATGCAAGCCTAGGTCTACGACTTCTCTCCTTTCGGTTCTAAAAGTCGCTAATTCAGTTAGAAGAGTATTAATCAACTAACCATATAGAATCGACAAATCCTAATTCAACAAATTAACATTCAATCGTTTCCAACTGCAAGATCGAAGTGTCGCTCTTCGATTATATCAATCAATCAAACAAGATTTCATCAATTCCTAATCAATTCAACTCATATAAGCATGAACAAATCAAGCCCGAAAAATATACGTTAAACAAGAATAATCATCCTCTATCCCTAGCAATAAGAATTAGCTACGTAAAATCAATCCAACACAATTAATCATTCTTTTCAAATCAACCATTTTCATGAATTAATTAAAAGATAAAAAAAACTTACATTTAGTCCCAAAATTCAAGTGTTGAATGGAATTACAAGCTTAATCCCTAAGTGCTATGAAGAAGAAGACGAAAATGGGAGAGAAAGGTAAGAAGAAGAGAAAAAAATGAAGAAGAACTGAGAAGGAAGGAGAAAGAGAGTTCTGCCGTGTTTTCTCGGAACCTAGGTGATATAGCATAGGAAAATATTTGGGTAGACCGACGGAAATCAGCCCGGTCTGTAAGCCGGAAGGATGTTTGTGGGCCGAGCCGACAGATCTGGTAATGAATGGGCTCGGCCCAAATATGGCTTGACTATGTGCATTGCTTGGCCTATAAGTGGGCCGGGAACGGAGCAGGTGTTATGGTTATCAAATGGACCCGGAGAAGACACGTGTAGGGGCCCGATGACTAAAAGGATAGATGACCTAAGGAACGAAGAACAAAGCGTACAAAGGAAGCTAGAACATCATATATAAATAGGGGATCATGTATGATGGAAGGTAAGAGCATTACAATAAACCCTAATATACAAATCTGTGTTCTCCTCGATACCCTACTAACTTGAGCGTCGGAGGTTTACCGCCGGGAGCACTTCCCGGCGTCTTTGCAGGTGTTGAAGGGCTCAAGCGGTTGGGACTCGAGGAAGACCGGTCTAGTGCGCAAAAGCACATCAATTGGCGCCGTCTGTGGGACTACTCAGTTACTTTACCGATTGCAGAGCAGGAGACGGTGGGAAAGATGAGCGGAGACGAGCAGTTGAGAAGGAATTTGGGAGCGAGAATGGAGGAGGCTTGGGTGGCGCAGACGCCTTATGGAGGGGGACCGCCGGTTGGGTGGAGCACGGGAGAGAACTCGAAGGCTACCCCTCAAACGGCGTTGCCAGTGGGAAACCAGACCCCGTCACCGGAGCTAGAACAGGGAGTACCGAACCAAGGGCGGGACCAGGAGGTGGCGGTACAGACTGGCGGTTCAGGAGTTGTGCAGGATGGAGGAGCACTTGAGATGCGGGTGACCAGAACGGAATTAGATCGTCTTATTGCGGAGGCGGTCACCAAGGCTTTGGAGGAGCGCGCTCAAGTCGCGGCAGTGGAGAGGCCCGCCGCAATGGAGAGGGCAGTTGTGGTGGTGGAGAGGGCAGCTTCGGTAAGGGAGCAACCAGAGCCGCTGATGGGGCAGACGGGAGGAATGCAAACCGGAGGGGCAGGACAACACATTCCGACGGTAGCTAGGTTGCTCGGAGGTGGTAGTCATCGGAGGGATGAGCCAGAGGAGAGGTCGGTGATGTCGCCGATGGTCCATAGGCCGCCTAGAGACCTGATGTTGGAGAAGATGGCGAGCCAGATAAAAGAACTCCAAGCTAGGGTGGAGGGTAGGCGGCAACCCAGGATGCAAGGTCACCCATTTACGGATGATGTTTTGGGTGCCGATTTACCTCAGAACTTCAGAGAGCCAAACATCTATTATGATGGGTCCTCCGATCCAGCCAGACATTTGAGGAGTTTTGAAAATGTGGCGGTTTTACATCGTTACAGTGATGGTGTTTGTTGTAGGGCCTTTTTGACTACCTTGAAAGGCTCCGCTCAGGATTGGTTCCATCAATTACCGGCGGGATCCGTCTATAGTTTTGATGCGTTTAGCACATTGTTTACTAATCAGTTCTCCAGCGCACGGAAGCACGAAAAGACGTATATGTCACTGATGAATGTCCAACAGCGAGAGAATGAGTCTCTCAGAGAATATGTGGCCAGGTTCACGCGGGCGTGTGTGGAGGTGCCTACAGCTACGGAGGAGATTAAGGCAGCAGGACTCACGCGAGGGTTGAAGGCAGGTCATTGCAGGAACTCCTTAGCCAAGAAGCCTGCTAGGTCTTATGACGAACTGTTAGAGAGATGTACCAAATATATGAATATGGAAGAGACTGAGGCGGATTTCTTGGCGCAGGAGCGGGCTAGGGGAAAGAAGCAGGAGGAAAAACACAAACATGATGAGAGGAGGTCAGGAAATAGGGAGCATAGGGGTGATGATAGGGGGCGCCTGGGGTTCA